AAGCTCCTTAAAAAACACCTCACATATCCCCTTAAATACATCGCTGGGGGGTTGCATATAAAGCCAAACATTTTGTGTTATATCATTTAAATTAAAAGCTGAGCTGACAATAAAAAGTACACAATAAACATTAACTCTCTTTGGGGATCAACAATTCAAAAATTTCCTTTTGTATTTGGTCTGGTTGGGCCGTAAAACATTTAATAACAACCGAATCGGCTTTTTGATATGCCCAGCAGACATAACAACCCCCCAGAATTGGGAGTTTAAAATAAAAAAAACGAAGAAGTACTCTGCAATAGAATGCATTTAATCATTTAAAAGTAACAAGTAACAATTGGGGAAGAAAGTTTAAAGCACCAAAGTGGCACTTTGTCGCCTTTTATGCTGACCGCACAAGGATGCCTGCCGAATGTTTCCTTTGTATTGTATCCCCTTCGAAGGAAGAAAACTTGAGTTTGTTGTCCCTTTTTTATGGCCAAACTGGACACACATAAATTTTCCCACTCCTGCTTGCTCGTCTCACACATGTTTTGGGTCCACTTTCCCACCGTTTTTCCAGAGAGGCGAGGGAGGGAAATCAAAAACGAATTATTCCTCAACCAACAGAGGGGTGCACTGCCTGCCGCCTTTTGTATATAATTCCCATTTTGGTGTTTAAGCCAAACACCTCAAAGGACCCGCAAAAGGGTCCAAGGACTGACGAAGATGCATACTCCATTTGATTTGCATACGGCCCCAGTCCGGACAAAAGGTCCTTCCACTTGCTGACAGCAAATGGCTGACCTAACGAACCATAAATTAAACACGCTTTTGATGTCTTGGCCGGGCCACAATGTTTATTTACTTTAGTTCTCCACCGGACAATGTAAAGTTTATCCTTAAAATTCGATTATAAGGAAACCAACTCAAAATAAATACAACTTTCGGCCGGTTTTAGTTTCTGTATGATTGAACTCTGGAATTAATTGCGCTGCCCAAGGGGTCTGCAGCTGGGGGAAAAGTGCTAAACAATTTGCATAAATTACGGTGGTCCAAGGGACATATCAACCCGGCAATAAATTCAAGTCAGACGCCCGGCTTAAGTCATCAAAATGGCAAAGAAAAATAGCTGGACAGGGTACAAAAAAAATTCAGTGAGAAAAAAACAAAATAAATGGAATTCAAGTGACCAAATGTGGTCGGAAAATTGTATAAAGTTATTTACCTAAAATTATTTTGAATATAGAAATCTAAATAATTTTTACACAGCTGAAACTGTACCCAAAACCTGATGAGCCATAATTACTCATCCCCAAAATAAGGTTTGCAAAAGAAATGTTTTGGATCTGCCAAATGAATTATGCGGCAAATGCCTCGTTATTAATTAGACTCATTTGCCATTCGAGTTCAGACCGAGATTGTTACCATGAAGACACCTTAATTAAATGTCTGTCTGCGGCGGATGAGTTCCAGATTCAACCGCAGAGTCAAAGTTTTTCGACCATCCCTTAGGGTGGCTGTTTTGTTTTTTGTGCCAAAATTATTTTGCATATGAGAGTTTTTGGCTCTACCCTGATGATGATTGGGTTCCTTGTCCCCGGAGATTTGTCATTTTCATTACCATAAATCAATTTGTTAATTAGTAAGCCACTTTTCGGTTGCCTGTGTTAGACAATGAAGTCGATTAGCCATCAGTTGCCATAGCAAGAGAATGGTGGTTATAGAGCTCAGGGGTTTGGGGTAATTAGTTTGGATATTATAATGGAAATGGAAATAAATATAAGTATTAAATAGTTTTTAAAATATTTTATTCCATAACTAAACCTTCTACTATATAAAGTTATACTAGATTATTAAAAATCAATCCGCTTTTCCCTTAGCTTTACTATAAACCAATTTTGAATACTTCAATTAACTTTTGTCAGCAAAACACAGCCCATAATTCATTCTAAACTAATTTAGCTTATGCGAAGCGTATAAAAGTCCCACTAAATAATTGAAGCTTCGATCTATTCCTACCTCCCATAAACACAAGGCAAATAAACAAATAAAGCTGCTCCGGCAATCAAACAATCGAATCTTTAATCCCATTTAGTTTGAGCATCGAACTAAAATTACTTCAATTTATTTTGATAGTCAATATAAAGGAAAAATGCGTGAATAGCAGCGAAATATATATATAAATATTTTATTTTCCATCCGCAGAGGATGCGCCTTAAATTGCTGGCAACTTTAAGCTGGCACTTTAGCCACTTTATGGCAAGGAAGCGAAGATGTGGCAGCCATTTAATGTCAACCATCAAGCATAAAGCCCTTGTATCCGTATCCTTCCACCTTCTGGAAAAAATAACAGTTTACACAAGAAAACAAAACAGAAGCCCGCCCATAAAGCCAGAATGGGGGAACCACATGTGAAGTGCCCTGGCTTTGACTTTGACTCTGGCTTGGCTTGAGCTGCATCCTCCATCCAGAGTGCGTCAGAGTGAAATGCATTTCAGCAACAATTGTTGCCAGCTGTAAATAAACACGACTTGGCCCGCCCCCCCCTGAACTCACTCCAAAAAATAAACAAAAAGCAGGCAAACACTGCCATGATAATAAGGTATATAATTTAATATCAATCTGACAGCCAGAAGGCAACAAAGTGCATAGACGACGAAATCGACGCTGCGACTTGAGAGACTTTTTTTTATATTTTTCGTAGAGATAGAGTAAGGTAAATACCCTCTAATAGCTATTAGAGATGTGCTGATATCGATTGGCAATAAATGGAAAAGGTAGGGAGTGCAGTGAGGAAATTAATCGGGAAATAGGGAGAGTATGTTGAATGGGAAACTAACTTGAAGAGTTGTTTAAGGATTGAGGGGGTTTAAGCAGGGTCCTTGTTGGAATAGTACAGCTTTGTAGAGTTTCTTTTTATTTTTATATAATAATTTTAAAAGTAAAAATAACCCTAAAGGTTAGATACTTAATTCTATAAATATCCTTTATATAACAAGGATATCAGCAAGGTCAAGGCTTTTAATTCTTAAAATAAAACAAGCATTACCTTTATCATTATAGGGTATCCCATCGTCCTTGTTTTCCTCCAACACCCCCTCCAGTGAGGTCCTTTAGCATTTTTCCCTGCCGTCTTGTTTTGTTGTTTCTGTACAACTTCACTTTTATACGTAGTGTGCATTGTCTGTCTGTCTAGAGGTACTCAAATGCTACTCTTTCGATGCGTTGCGTTTCTTCTTCCTTTGGATGCCAGTTTTTTGCTTGCTTTTCCATTTTTTTTTCTACTTTCCTCTCCCTTTTTTTTTGTTTGCCAACGAAAAATAAATGCAGTTTGTGTGTGCGCCTGCACTTGTTGTTTGTGTTGAGCCAAGCAGAACATTTCCATTTGAATGTTCTTTTAAGCGAAAACAATTCTTTTCTTTGTTTTGCTTTCGAGACTTCAGGTTGTGTGTGTGTAAGTGATACCCTCAGACCCCCGGAATCCTTTCGAGTGTTTAGCAAATTAGATCATGGATTTTTCCTCTGATTTCTGGGTGGGTTATCAGCGCATGGATGTCATTATCGGGTCCCGCCCACTCACCTGGACGCCCTCGAGGGTAATCTCCTTTTGTTGTGCATTCTTTCCAATATTTTCCTTTAAAGTCCTTCGGGTTGGGATTTTATTTTACATTTTTTTATGCTACAACTATAAAAAAGTTTTTACATTTTTTACGGCACTTATTTCAGCTTTCTTTCTTCTCACCCATTTTATTCTGCGGGTAACAAAAGAAGTTTTCTGACGGCGAGTGCATTATATTTTGGACTTACGGCGAGAAGTTGATTATGTTGATTTGTAGAATTGATTTGCCAGCAAGGGAAAAGGGGGGAACTACTACTGGAGGGATAGAGCCAAGGACCCTGTCAGACACTCCTTTTAACCATAAAATATTCACTGGCATGTGGCTGGCAAAATGCTAACCGATTGTTCTGGCTGTCATGCGGAGTTTTTTTTGAGTCGGGAAATTGGTTGGTTAAAAATTGTGGATAAAAGGGTTAAGAATTTTCATCGGACAAATGAAGAAGGAAACTTGAAGGGATAAAATATTAAACGAAAAGCCCGAAAAATGCATGAGATTAAATAATGTGACCCTTATTTTCACTTTTTTAAATAAATTCATAAAATGAAACCAAGTATTTGCCATTTACTTTCTCAGGGAAATTAGAAAATATTCCGTTGTTGAGAGAAAACCAAACCACAAGCACAAGAAGGACTCATAGCCAAGAGGCCCAAATTGAAGAGAGAAAAAAAAGCCCAAGGAATGTTGGTCAAGGACATGTCTAAGCTAAGCCAAAATATAGCAAGAAAAAGTTAAAATCGAAAACTAAATTCAAGCAAAAGCAAAGTCGAACTTTTTATTCGAAAACTTCCCCTCATAATTCGAAACAGAAAAGAGGAAATACGATTTTTTAAAAAGAAAATTTTAAGGATAAGAATTTAAGGACCTAAAACAAAAATAATTGCTTTTAGAAATTCAGTTTTACAATAAAATCTCCCAAAAGATATTTTATTATATTAATATAAAACCTACAACCAAAATTCGTAGCTCGAATATATTTCCCCATTTTCGAAAACTTCCCTTCCATAATTCGAAACGCGTAAGGTTTGGCTTGCCTCGTTTTCGGAATCACCCCTTAAAATTCGAAAACAAAAAAACGTAAAGTGGAAAACGCATTACGTATACGTAACATGCCACAAGTGTGACTCTCTCTCCCCCTTTGACACTCTGCCTCTCTCTGGATTTCCTTGAAGGAAACGTTTACTGCACGTGATGAAAGTAGCTCGACATAACGACACAGATATCAACAGAGAGGCAGAGAGAGAGAGTGGTGAAATGGGGGTGAGAAAAGGTGGAAGAGAGATAGTGAGAGAAAGCCAGAGAGAGCAAGGGAGAGGGAGAGAGAGGGTGGCTAATTCTCGCGCCGCTTCCCGGGTATAAATACGAGTGCGCTGCGGCCGGAGCTCCTCAGTCAAACAGCAACTCGCCAAGAGCTCAGATCTGAAAGAGGAAATCCGAAAATCAGGAAATCAAACCCCCAAGTGTAATTTTTACGTAACTTTTGCGACGCCATGGCCATTCCATTCTTCGAAGACGAGCATGTCTCCAAGTCCGAGCCCAGCGGCGACCAGGTGGATAGTCCCATGGCCTTCTCCATTGATCCCGGACACGACCAGGTGGACTTCGAAGGACCTCCAACTCCGGCGGCACAGCAAGTACCAGGAGCAAGTGCAACAAGTGAGCCAGTAGCAGCCGCTCCCAGCGCCGAGGAGCAACTGCTGGCCTGGAAAATCCTGGCCATTGCCATGTGCAAGGTCCTCAAGCAGTTCTACCAACAGCACAAGGCGGCGGGAAAATCCAGCAAGTTGAAGGCCACCATTCAGGTTCAGCCGCAGGCGCAGTAAATAACAGAAAGAAAAAAAAAGAAAAACACCAACTAAGGCTCCTAAAAGCGCAACTTGTGATTACTTTACGTTGGTGAGAACTAGCGCAGCCCCCTCGAAAATCCCCCGAGAGAGAGCTAGACAGTGACAGAGAAATGTGAATCAATTTCCCAAGGAAAAACCCAGAAAAAAATTAATCATTTTTTAACCATGTATTTTCTTTGTCGGAAATTATTCCCGCCAATGATTTCTAAATTGCCGTCGCGATGCAAAACTAAACTTTGGATAAGCGCAAATGTGATAAATAATTTTGCTAAAAATTATTCCAGTCCAAATATTTGTTTAGTAAGCCCAACTTTATATAATTTAACGAATTAGTTAAGCTAAGTTCTCTTACAAGGTCGGTCCAGTGCAAAGGCATACAAAAAGCAAAGGTCCCAAAACGAAAGAAATTCTGGAAAAGATATAGAGTCTAAATTTTGTAAGCAGCAGCTAGTTTTCAAGCAGAAACCAACTTAGTTGATAAGCCAAACTTTTCTATATATACTATATCTACATCTACGAATAGTTACGATGACTTTTTTACAAGCAACTCTCTTGGTGTCTATTTATGGGTAAAATTGTAATGTTTCAACTTCCTAGGTAGAATGCTTCTTCAACTTAGCGAATAGTTATGGAAATATATATATTTTTAAAAATAAACCAAAACATATATATATTTTTATATTTACTTTGCCGTCGATGTGTAAGCTGTGCGTGTGTGTGTCAATTTAGTTACTAGTTCCGTAATCTAAGCAATATATTTATATGTGGCTAAGACTCGACATGAGAGTAGGGACGCATTTTGGCGTCACGAGCATAAACATAGTACAAGTTCAAAAGTAGAAATATTTACATCCATTACTAATAATCCCAGTAAACACAAAACTAATTATTGTTTAAGTAATTTAAATGTAAACTAAGCTAAGTAAACCAAAAACATATGCATATAAAATTAAATAAAATATGATTAAATTAATATGAATATATTTTTGAAATTATTTGGGGAGGAAAATGTTGAAATACTTTATTTTTAGGTGGGAAAAATATTTAATTTTATTTATTTGGAAACTAATTAAAGTTTTAATATCCTGGCAGGATATTAAAATTTCAGTCAGAAGCTGGATCCTATAAATCATTTTCATTACATTTTTACATTTTTTTTTCCCCAAAAATTATCATATAAAATTATGGAAAAATATAAATTTAAGGAATTCGAATATTTTCGATTTTCTTAATAGGAATTATGGTTTTATTTAGTGAAGCAGCCATTTCCGACCCCATAAATCATATATATTATTGATCAGCATTAGCAGGCGATTCTTGATGTTCATGTCGGAGAAAAAAAAAATTTTTTTAATTATTTTCAAAATTTGATAAGGGGTTACATCGTTAAAATTTTCAAAAATGAACTAAAATTTTAATTTCTTAAAAATTAAAATGTAGTATGCAGATTTTTTAATCTATAAAAAACTAGCATGGAAAAGCTTTTCGAAAAGAATTTGATGCCTTTTTGGCTTAATTATGGTTTTTTATAACTTTGAGTTTTCCAAAAAATTATCATATAAAAATATAGAAATATTTTTAAACTTAAGTTATTATATTTTTAGACAGTAGCATTTTTAGCTTAGCACTGAAGCCCGCAAGGGTCAAGTTTGCTTAAATTTCGTTAAAAAATAATGTAAAACATAATTATTATCCCCAATATTATTAAAATTTATTAAATTTAGAATTGAAATCATACGTTTTTAGATACGTTTTTAACTTAAATTTACCATAATTTAGACTTTATTTTAACAAATCCAACAACCAATCTTTGTTAATACTCGCTAATGCTTTGTCACCTTAAGAAGCTCCTACTGTTTTTTTGTATCCCCCAATCAATCCTTTGTGAACGGCTGCCAGCGGTGGAGATCAAAGCCTTCGTCAGACAATGGACAGCCGATAATTCTTCATATTTCCCAAACCCAATTTCCCAGCTTCATACAATCGTCCCGGAAAAATGTCGCGTGGCGCCACCCATCAAATTTCAAAATCTGCCTTTGGGCTGACTTAAAAAAAAAGGTAAGAGACGAGCGAAATTTTTCAACTCTCGATTTTTTAATACGCTTTATATAAGGCAAATACATGATACTGGGTAGATGCTAAGCTGCTTTTTTAATTTTCTAAAATACAAATAAAAAATTCGGTCCAGCCGCCGTCCACCGAAGCCATCAATCAGCGAATGGACATATCCATAATAATATCAATCAGGGCAAGAACTGGGAAAGAACAAATACCATTTGCCAAATAAACTGTTCCCCAGCGCCTGAAGATGATTTTAAATTTTTTTTTGATATTTTTCTTCCAGGCAGATAAGCAGAAGCCAAAGGATTTCGCAGGATTTTTTTTTTCATATAGAAATGCGCATTATAAGGACGGTTAACTGTCTGAATTCAATCAAATGTCCCCCCGGGAATTTGCACTTTTGTTTGCTTAAGCGTCCCACACATGATATCGTGTATCCTTCATCCTTCAGCAACCCTTTCCCCGGGAGAAAGCAGTGAAAGCGGTGAAAGCGGCCTCAAGTGCATGTGTGTGTGCGTCCAGCTGGGATTTTTTTTAAGGGGGGTGTAGCCTTAGATGGTAAAGTGACCCGTAAACAAACAGTTTTTGAATTTTTTTAATGCACAAGCAACAGATTTAAGGGGCTACTTTAGAGGGTATAGTGGAGTATATTGAAATTAGGAAAAACAAAAATATTTAAAACAAAGAAAATATGTATTTTTTAAGTGATTATAAGATATAAAGTACAGAACAATAATAATAATATTTTATTTACAATTTATAAAATTTTCATTTACCTAAATTCTTCACCAGCTAAATTTGTTCTGTATTAAAAAACCAATATACTCTTTATTTTTTAAAAAATACCCTCATTTATATATATTTAAATCTCCTTATTCAAACATTGGTATGATCAAGCATGTACTTAGTTATTTGGGCTATTTGAGTATCTTTCGAGGCATTTTTTAACTTAATTGAAAGTACACAAACTTACCATACTAAGCAAATCAATTGCTTTTTCCCTACCGGTGTCCCCCGGGGCTAAAGAATGTTTGCAAAACTCAAAGGGAACTTGAAAAATGCATGAAACGAGATTATTAAAAATAAATTAGAGTTGGCTTTGCCCTAATGGAAGTGGAACACCGGTGGTTCAGGTTTATTTATCCGAGAGTTCTGCCGGAACGTGCTTAAGTGCGGATTCATTTCAATTTGCTTGGGTTTGTGGTCATCATTAGTGTGCTTTATTAAGTGGAAATAGAAGTAGCAACTCTGGAGGAGAAGCGCTTTAAGCGCACAATCTTTAATCCCCACTCTCAAGGTCGTCCTTTGAGGCACTGCATATGTTGCATCTTTGAGCACGTTTCGCCTGTGGAATGCATATGCTGAACGGGAAAAACACGAAAAGTAACAACTAGGGGGACCTGGAATCGGGCCACATATTTGTTTATATTTTTTTTTATGTTGCAAAAGGGTTGACTGAACAAATCTGGGTCAAGGTGAAGAAGTACGCAAAAGTGCACTCGGCGAAGTGCATTCAAGTTGAAAGTGAAACTGCAGCTGGTTTTCTGACAGGCAGCTTGCACTTCACTTAAGGGTAACTTGGAATATATGTCAATTGTTTATTAGTTAGGAGGAGAAGAAACTTTAAAAAAGTATAAAGGGAATAAACAATGTCAAAGATATATAATTTGTTATTTGTTAAAAATTTTACAACCATGAAATTAAATCCCAAAAAATCACTTTATGTCTTGCACTTCTTAGTACGATTCTTCCACCTTAAAATATACATTTTTCCCCCATTTTTGGGGACATTCCTGCTTTCCATTTCCCTTATTTTCCGCCCCAAAACAATTACATTTAATGGCAAGTTCAACCCACCGCAGGCACTGTGTATGGTTCCCCTTCAACTTTTCAAGGACTGACATTGGTTGCACTTCATCATTACAATTAATACAGAAAATGCAAGCAGATCAAAGTGCGAATGCAAAGTGGGCGTAGGTGGAGGTGGAGGAAAATGGGAAATCGCGGACAAAAGGCGCGATAGACAAAAGGCGGCGACAGTCAAAAGGCAGAAACAACAACCACAAGTTGCCAGAGCCATGTCAAAGGTAATGACAGAAGCCAAACAATTGAAAAGTTGTAACAAACAGTCCAGAGACAGAGGGGGAAAACCGGCAAAAAGAGTCACAGAAACAATGAGTCTTCGTTAGCCTTGGCAACAGAAGCAAAAAAAAAAAAAAGTATATGTAATGCATAAAAAATCGCAAAAATATGGCAAACAATTGTCAAAGCACAAAAAAAGAACAGGAAAATAAAATAAACTTGGCAAGCAATTTTCAAGCAATATATTTTCCGCTGTTGAGCAAAACTTTTCACGCGCTTTTTGATGTTTCTCTTCCCTTTGGTCAAAGTGCAAAAATAACAAGGAAAAATCGCGTAGAAATATTTAATGAGGCCAGAGTGCAGGAAAATAGTCAAGAAAGAAAACCAAAACCAAAACCAACAAAAAAAACCTAATTTAATAATCAAATAAAAAAGCTGGTCAAGGGAGCGGTCCCCGGGGAAAAGCCAAGCAAATTGGAAAGCGGGAAAAACGAAGCTATGCAAATGCCGCAGATAAAGAGGAAAAAATGCGAATCGCATAACTTGAGCGATTTGACAAATTTACGAGTGAGTTTAGCGGACTAATCATTAGAGATATCTTTTTCCCCCTCTTGAAAAGTAACCATCCCGCAGGCCAGAAATCCACAAAAGGCGGGGAGGAGGAGCAGGTTTTTCCAGGGGAGGAAAAGCAGCGAAAAGCCGTAGAAAGCTGCTGTCGTTGTTTCCCTGCAGCTCAGTTGTACGTTTTCCCTTTTGGGAAATGCTCTAGAGAGGAAAAGGTAAGTGAAGTTGAAGGGAAAGAGTATGGCAAATGTTATAGCTTAATTTTAGAATTTAAAAAATAGGAGAAAAGGATTTTACTGTAGTTTTATTTTTGTCTAATTCCTAATTGTTAAAATTAAAAATTAAATATATATTTGGGAATATTCTACATCCTCTTTGTTAGAGCATTTAAAACTCGCCTTCAAGCACTTACATTTTCCCTTTTTTATTGTTATTATTTTTGTTACATTTTTTATTTTGAATAGCCCAAAGAAGCGAATAAAAAACGAAAATCTCTTGCACATAATTTTAATGTTTATCGTCTTTTATTGTCAAACAAATTATTTTTGATATTCCTGCTGCAGGCAATGGCTCCGTCTCTTCCCCCTCATCTTACCAGGTGATTCTGTCTGGGAAATGATTCAGCTGCTGAGGGTAGCCAAGGAGATTCAGGACGCACATATCTTGTAATTTGATTAGCATGTGGCAGCAGAGGAAGTAAAAAAAAAGAAAGAAAAGCTTAGGAGGGGTTGGTAAAATAATAATCATAAAGAAAATCCAGAAACGACATGCTGATCTCTATCGGGCGAAAGTCAAAACAATTTAATGCATGAATAAAAAATAATTTTCTTGCGAGGACATCCTGCTGCGGAGTTTTATTGGATTTCCAACCAAAAATGTGGAGTTCATATGTGCAGCCCCAACTTCTCTCATCTCTCCCAGGATTTGTCTTTTGCCTTTCATGTCTCAATATCCAGCATGAAAAGGTAGTAGGAAAAAAAGAATTCACTCATTTTGCATATGAATTAAAACGCAATAAATTAGCAAGCAGCGTTTTTGCCAATTTGAATGTTTGTCCTTTCTGGGGAAAGCGCGGCAGGATGGCGCACAGGAAGCCTTTGTTTGACTTGCTAATGCTTCAAAGTCTCGCCGGTTGTCGTGGATTATAATTCAAAGCCGAATGGAAAACGGAAAATGGAAAAACGAAGACCAGAGTCAAAAGCAGCAGAAGCTCTTAATAAGCTG